AAGTGCGTTGCGTTGTTTATGGATGAAGATCTTTTCATTTTTCTGTTTAGTATTTAACAGAAGGAATAATCTAGCAGTCATATGGATATATGCAAATATTAGCTTAGTTTCCTTTGCCGGGTTCTTAGACCTTTTCTTTTCCATTTCAATTACTTGCAGAGAGGTAGCAGTGTTGGGGATGCTGGAGGTGCTGCTGATCGTGTACTGAACCAACTTCTTACAGAAATGGATGGAATGTCAGCAAAGAAAACTGTTTTCATCATTGGTGCCACCAACAGACCAGACATTATAGATCCTGCTCTTTTACGTCCTGGGCGTCTCGATCAGTTGATTTATATTCCTCTCCCCGACGAAGAATCTCGTCTTCAAATTTTCAAGGCTTGCTTGAGGAAATCTCCCATTTCAAAAGATGTTGAACTCAGAGCCCTTGCCAAGTACACTCAAGGTTTCAGTGGTGCTGATATTACAGAAATCTGTCAGCGTGCCTGCAAATATGCTATCAGAGAGAACATCGAGAAGGTCTTTCTCTTACTTTCAAACAGACTTCTTATTCTTTATGCTTGCAGTCCAACCCCTCCCCCACACCCCCAAAAGCCAGCAGTAGTGATCATTATCGATGCTTTTTGCAGGACATCGAAAAGGAGAGGAGGAAAAGTGAGAACCCTGAGGCCATGGAGGAGGATGCCGATGACGAAGTCGCCGAGATCAAGGCTGCTCACTTTGAGGAATCCATGAAGTATGCCCGAAGGAGTGTCAGCGACGCGGACATCCGCAAATACCAGGCATTTGCACAAACACTTCAGCAGTCGAGAGGGTTTGGAGCCGAATTCAGGTTCGAGCAGAGCTCGGGATCAACTGCATCTGACCCATTTGCAACCTCTGCTGGTGGGGCTGATGAAGATGACCTCTATAACTAGTACGTCATTTAGGCTCCAACCCCATTTATGCTTAGACTTGATAGCATGATATAACTTGGTAAAAGCTTCATCATGTGGATCACCTTTGATTGGACAGAGTCGTGAATCCGAACCATTGGAGGGAAAGAAATCATTTTGTTTATCCATAATTTTGTTATGGGTTACACAAAAAACTGAAAAGATTCTATTTGATTAAGATTATCATTTACATCATTCTTGATATACCATCTTTGTTGAGGCTTGAAAATTGAGCATGCAAGATTGAATGATCAAATCCATTGATTTGTGTGCCCAAAACAAAGCAGAACTCGAGACACCAAAATGTGCTTACCTCATTTCCCAGAATTTCTGGGTAAATGGATTTAACCATTCAACTTCTGTAGAACATGAGGTATAATTATATAATATAAAGATTGTATTTGAAAAATGATGTAAAGGAATATCACAACAATTTAAAAAAAAGAGGGTGGGGACATTTTATGTGTAAGCACACGTGCATGAGCACTAGAAAAAGCCAAGCTTGGTTCGTACGTATAACAACATTGTCACCAGTTGTAGCTTTGATCCTCAATTATATAAAAATTCCTCTTTTAGGGTTTTTTATTTTTCAACGTTTGCAGATTGCACGTGTTCATCTTACATATGGTCCCTCTTTCATTCACCAGATTGCTACTAACCCTATTTTCATTTCCCCACTTTCCCCCCTTTATTTATTTTCGTTGGAGTCTGATTTTCTTTTATCTTACTCTATTATTTAACTATAATTTTCATTGAAAGGATGTGATTCACCCGAAGTGCAGCAAGCAATTAGGCTTTGCATTCATTTGGTTGGATCAGTGAAACGTATTTTTCCTTAAGTTTGGAGTTGCTTTTAGTTGATTTGTAGACCCATTTGTTGCCATAGTACCATTAAAAATAGTTTAGGAATTGATTGTTTTTTTTAGTAGAGTCTATTCTTTCTTTCTATATGCATGGTGCGGTATAAGCGTGGTGGGTTTTAGTGTGATTCAAAATCCAGATTTGTATGCTTGAACAACACTCTCGATAGGACAACTCTAACTATACAATTCGGGCGTGGGAATGAATGATTTAGCTAGAAAGGGTTTAGGGGAAGCTCTTGAAAAAGTAATATTAAAAGAAAGAGGGAGAAAAAGTGGTAAGGAAAAGAGGAGGGTTTTAAGGAGAGGGAAAAACATGATGGAGAATTGGAATGGGACCCCAACAAAGATATGAAATAATAATAATAATAAAGAAAAAAAAAGAGGGAATGTGTGGTGGATGTGCTTTTTAGAAGGCCACACCAGAGGATGTCTCAGCCAAACAGGAGAGAAACCGTACACACTACTCCCATCTCTCTCACCAAAACCCTATTCTCGACTCTATTCTCGAGTATCTCTTTCCATCTCTATAATATTCCCAAAAACCCTATTTTCGAGTCTCTTTTTCCATCTTTATAATATTCTCGAAAATCCTATTTTCGAGTATCTCTTTCCATCTCTACAATAGTATGATATCATATATTTTAACCCTAAGTTTTAGAACAACACGTGGACGTTGCTTTTAAAAAAATTAAGTTAGGCAGAGATGGGATATGGTGGCTGATGGGTTTGAGGGAACAAAAGTGTTTGCCATCATACTTCAGTATATATACATTTCAAATCAAATCAATCAATTTGCATTGGTTCATAATAGCATTATAAAATTGATGTCCATCCGTATTCATCTAACAATGAAAGAATAAAGGAAATTTTTTTTTCGTACATCTAATATCGTAGATGACAACTACATGGTAATGCAACGTTTCTAAAAAAAATTTGTTATTCTAAATAATTTTGAGAGATGAAACGATAGGAAGAAATGAAGAGAGCAAAGCGACAACGAACCTACGGGAAGAAGAGGAGAAAAGAGAGTGAGAGAAGCATACACGAAAACGACCATTTCTCAAAGCCTAATGTTTGAATCTTCACGTGTTTTAGGTTGAACGAACGAGAAAGACTAAAGGAGAGACTGAGAGAGAGATCATATGAACATTTTGAACAAAAGTATGAACAAAGACGGCAAAAAGACCCATTTTCTAGATCCAAAACGGGGATCCAAAAAGAACCCATTTGAAAAATATAATGAAAAGTAAACCCCATATAAGAATATACCCAAAAATCAATGATATAAAAAGAATAATAATCATTCAAAACTATAGTCTAAAATAAAATATCATACACATACCAAGCTTACAAAATATATATATATATATATATATATATATATATATATATATCTTATTCAATCTATAAATGAAGTAAAAGAATATAATAAAAAGATATCAAGACTCCCCTCTGTCTCTCCAACACACAAGCATAGCAATGCACCTTCTAAGAATATAAAATTTAGTCCTCTGTTTCTTCACCAAATTGGTACACTTCTCACCAAAAGACTTGCACCCACCGCCACCTTCAAACCCATTATCATTATTATTATTGATATCACCATTTCCCCCTCTGCAATACCTCCTGCTGCTGCTGCTTTCTCTGCTCATCGCCAACCAAAAGCATCAAAGCTTTCAACTTTTTGTTCTGGGTCACCTCCAATTCCCCCACAAAGCCCCCAAAACGCCTACCTTTTGCCTCAGCAACTCAAAACAACTGCGCTTTGATCCAAAAGAGTTTGGGTTTTAAGGGCTTAAAAGGGTGGAATTTATAGCAAGAGGAGATGGGACGATGAGGACATTGAAAGGCATAAAACAATTAGGTGTCTCTGTGGGTGTGTGTGTGCGTGCGTGCGTGCGTGCGTGCGTGTGTGTGTATGTGTGTGTGAGTTGGAAAAATAAGGCAAGAATATTGGGCCAATGGCCCTCTTTTTTGTTTCCTCTACAAGGTTCTAGCTGGAAGCTCAGCTGCCAATGGCCCCACTCCCTCCCCTCCCTCCCCTTCTTCATCAATCATTAAACGCTTGTGTCCTTATATAATTTTTCAAATCACTCCCAATGAGCCATTAATTTTTGTACTCGAGACCTCTCTCACGATATACTGACAAGGTCGGTTGGAGGAGCTATGGACTATTCAGATTTTGATAAGGGTTGTTTGGCCAAATCGATCACTCGTCATGATCTTAATTGGCCGTTGTGACAATCTATAATAATTGTAAGTAACATCATTACGAGGTTTCCACACCTTTCTAATGAATGTTTGTTCCACTCTTCAATGAATGAGGAATCTCACAATCTACCCCTTTTGTGGCCCACATTCTCAATTGGCACACGAGGACGCTGGCACACCATCTAGTGTCCTACATTGATTGAAGAGAGGAACGAGTGCCAACAAGAACGCTGGGACCGAAAAGGAGTAGACTGTGAGATACAGCCTTGATTGTAAAGGGGAACAAAACATTCTCTATTAGAGTGTGGAAACATCTCCGCGTTTTAAAAACTTCGAAGGGAAACTCGAAAGAAAAGGTCAAAAGAAGATAATATCGACTAGCGGTCGGCTTAAATTGTCATGTACGACATTAAATATTTTTGATAATATTGAAATACAATTGTGAAATTGTGTGCATGTATAAATAACCTAAAATGTGTAGATAAAAAACTAAAAAAAAATGGACAAATTTCAATTGGTACACGCTTGCCAAGACAATTATTGTAGCCACACGTGCATTCGTGTTCAATTTTATTGGCTTTCCACCCTGCAATAAATGCTCTTTGGTCAAAAAAGTAAAATTCCCATGCTTTTTTTTTTTTTTTAAATAATAATAATAAATAAATAATTCCATACTTTCTCTGTCAGTATTAATATAAATAATTTATATTATTCATATCATATAAATAATTTAATTAAAAAAAATTATTTTTTTAAATAAAGACATATCTGGATTTATTATTTTATTTTATTTTTTGCAGAGTGGTTGACGCAATTTATATATTCGGCTTAATATATCAAATAGTATTTAATATCTTCTGTAATGATGTTTTAAAAGTCTCTGATTTTACTTAATTAAAAAAAATTAATTAGATTCTTAATACAAATTTATTAAAAGAAAAATAAAAGGAAAAAGTTATGAAACTAAATTAATACAAATTTATAATTTAGAGTGGAAAGTTGTCAATTTGATGAACAGTAGTAGTGCTATGTAGATTCATTTCAAATTTTTGCCCGAAATTTGATCTCAGAAGATATTCAAAAGAGGAGCCACGAAATCGATTGAAATCTATCTACCATCATCCCATGGCGAATCAGGCGATGGCCACGAACATTGTGAAGCTGATTGTGAAATCTGGCCTTAAACCCTTCAAAACGACGCCATCGCTGCTTTCGAATCTTGATTCTCGGGTAACGCAATTGGTTTTGTCTAATCCAAGCGTTCCTACTCAGTCGTGTTTGAGTTTTTTCAACTTTCTCCGACAAAACCCTTCTCAGAAACCCGATCTTCGGGCACATTTAATACTTATTTGTAGGTTGTATCGAGCTCGGAAGTTCGCTGTAATGAAAAATGTGTTGAACTTCATCGTCAATGATGGAAATCTTCGCAGCAGTACTGAACGGATTGTTTCTTCGATTGGAGGTGAGCTCAGTGAGCCAAAGTTTGTTGATAAATTTTGTGATATGCTGTTTAGGGTATACGTGGATAACGGAATGTTTGATTCGGCTTTGGAAGTTTTTGATTATGCGAGAAAGAATGGGTTTGAGATTGAGGAGAGATCCTGTCTTGTCCTTCTGCTTGCTTTAAAGAGGTCTGGTAATGTTGAATTATCTCTGGAATTCTTGCGCCAAATGGTCGATTCAGGTGTGGAAATAAGTGTTTATTCGTTGACGATTGTGGTTGATGGGTTGTGTAGAAAAGGGGAGGTTGAAAGGGCCAAGGCTTTGATGGATGAACTTGTTGGCAAAGGATTTAAGCCCAATGTTGTCACATATAATACTCTTTTGAATGCTTATATTGAAAGGAGGAATATGAGCTGTGTAAATGAGATTCTTAGTTTGATGGTGAAAGATGGCGTGGATTATAGTGCAACAACGTATACAATTTTGATTGAATGGTATTCAAGAAGTGGGAAAATTGAAGAAGCAGAGAAGGTGTTCGATGAAATGCTTAAGAGAGGTATAGAGCCTGATGTTTATGTTTACACCTCCATTATAAATTGGAACTGTAATTCTGGAAACATGAAGAGGGCCTTTGCTCTGTTTGATGAAATGACTGAGAGAGGACTTGTTCCAAATGCTTACACTTATGGTGCTCTTATAAATGGTGCCTGCAAGGCAGGGGAGATGGAGGCAGCTGAGATGCTGGTAAATGACATGCAAAGTAAAGGGATTGATGTAAATCAAGTTATATTCAATACGTTGATAGATGGGTACTGCAAAAAAGGGATGCTTGACGAAGCTCTAAGGCTGCAGGATATCATGCAGCAAAAAGGGTTCAAGATTGATGTGTTTACTTATAACATAATTGCCAGTGGATTTTGTAGGTCGAATCGGCGAGACGAAGCAAGGAGTTTATTGCTCACAATGGAAGAAAGGGGAGTGGCTCCAAATGCAGTGAGCTTCAGTACTTTGATTGACATTTACTGCAAAGAAGGGAATTTTGCAGAAGCAAAGAGGCTGTTGAAGGAAATGGAGACGAAGGGCAAGGTACCTAATGTTGTTACGTACAATACTTTCATTGATGGATATGGGAAGAAGGGAAAGATGGAGGAGGCATACAAGCTGAGAGATGAGATGCAAGAAAGGGGGTTAATGGCAGACACATTTACATATTCATCACTTATAAATGGGGAATGTGTTCGTGGGAATTTGGATACGGCACTTGAACTGTTTAATGAAATGCCACAGCGAGGGCTAAATAGAAATTTGATAACTTACACGGCATTGATCTCTGGGTTGTCGAAGGATGGTAGATCGGATGAAGCTTTTAAATTATACGATGAAATGAAAGCAGCAGGCATTGAACCTGATGATAGAATATATTCTTCCTTGACAGGGAGCCTTCATAGAGCAGGATCTTAGTTTCGGGATTGGAAATTGTCATCAACCGAATTGAAACTTGACCAGACTGGGTGTATTGAGCTACAATTTACCGAAGTGTGAATGTACTTGAACCGACTGGGTATATTCGTAAACCCCTTTGTTGCTTTTGATTCCTTCTTTATGGCATTGAAGTATTGTGATCACACAAACTTTCCTGGTTTGTTTTGTAGTTTTGTGAACCTGTGGTCTTTCTTGGATGAAATTAACTGCCATTTCTTTAATGGATGATCCTTTTTGTGACCTGTGGTCTTTTTTTGGAAGGAATGAAACTGTCATTTCAATAGTGCATCGCCCTTTTTCCTTCTTTCCTTCCTTCTTCGTGATGGTGCGTTTCTACTGATAGGAAATCCATTATCTGCGTTAACGCAGTTCTGACAGTAACTTGTCTTCTCAATTAGTCAAATGGATACTTATCAAAAAAGAATCATGTTCCAATAATTTGGAGTTATGGCCTAGCCACATAGGAGCATCTATGATGGGTTGATTTAAGGAGCATTGCCCACACAATATCTTTGGTTTGATGATGGAATTGGTAGTTTGTGTATTGTTTGTTCTGTCCGCTTTTCATTCAATTATATTCTGTAGTTCCGAGCCAGTATGCCTTCTGTCCTACCATTCTTTTACGATGTGTTAACCATGTTGGGTTGCTGATTTGGATATCTCTGTTTATTTTGCAGGAATATGTTTCGTGACCAATGAATTGGTGAGAATTTTTGGATTTTTTTTTTATTGAGCTTGAGGTTTTGCATCTATAACTTGTAATGAATTTTGTGCGAACTTTTGTAGCCACGATATGTTGTCAACCAAGTAACGGTTGGACAGTGATTATCCAAGAAAGGTGCTCAAGTTTCTTACCGATCTTTAAGCAGTATTCCATATGCTTAATCTTCGCAATGACTTTCCCGGCAGAAAATTTGATGGTATAATCGTTATTTATATACGCATGTCATCTATGTTTATTCCTTGACCATTTGATCTTCCCACACATATATTTGATCTTCCCACCGAGCACTTCCCTCTTGAGTTAGAGTTGGCATGGTGTGAGATCCCACATCGGTTGGAGAGTAGAAAGCATGTTTTATAAGAGTGTGGAATGCTAGCGGTGGACTTGAGCGGTTACACATGGTACATGGTATTCCAGAGGGAGAGGGTTTTCAAATTATGTCCCATCCGACTTACATTATCACTTTCTGGTGGCATCCGTGGCCGCTTTGCTGCCTCAGCTTTGGCAGTCAAAGCGAGGGGTTTTGCCATACATCCAAATCGGTAATGTTATTTTCTTCTTTATGTAATTTTCATTTTCATTTTATTTTCTCATATGTATCATGCAATCGCAATAGACATGAAGTATGACTTGGGAGGAGTTGAATATCCGAGTCTTATCAGCAAATGGTGATTAAATGAGGAAACAATCATTGAGTATGTTACCAGAACCAGCACGCAGAAGGAAGAAGGGGAGTTGGTCTGTCCTCGTCTTGATTATGTCACAACACAAAGATGTTATTGAGTAACAGGTTTTGTTTGGTACAAAACATGGAAAATGATATCTGTAAAATCCTTAATCTTACAATGGGCCGTTCTCCAAGATAACTGTGATTAATGCTTATTAGGTACTATACCCAAGATTCCGAGATTTTATTAAAATGTTCGAAAATGGAAGATTATTGTCTGAAATGTGCTATTCCTCCATGAAAGATTACTACTTAATAATGAATTAAGCTTCATTTCTTCTATTAAAGTAACTCTTTCTTTTTCGTGATTAACGAAATATTACCTTCACATCGAAATCCATACTTGTAATTAGTCACAAATATCATTTATTTAAGTCGTTGGATGTTAGAAGAACTATTGAACACTGCATAACCATTCACCTAAGCACGAGGGTATCACCGTAATTGGACTAATTATAAATACGTTACTAATCCTAGTGTGGGCACCATGCCTTTGGAGAAAAAAAAAATGCATGTCCTTCGCAAACTTGGGAATAGTGTGCTCGTCATGTCTTTGTCTTTCGAGTAAAGGAAAAGTATATGACAAATCAAATTTCACAGATTAGCCACTTTCCACGGAGGTGGACTTACTTATCACCTCTTCCATAGGAAGAGAGGAACGGATCATTTCTTTTAGGTTTCTTTAGATAAGATGGTGCACTACAAGACTGAAGTATTATATTGCTCCTCTTCGGGGAGAGCATTTCTATCATTTTCTTCCTCGACGTGAGCTCCTGCCTCGTCGAGGATATGCCACTCATCAATCATCACCTATTTCTTAAAGGAGCATGTATGCCACTTTCCTAAGGTTCTTCCCTCGGACAAGTTAGTGCCCATATAGGATGCAAGACTATTCTGTCTTAACATCCTCCTTTTTGGAATCCGCTCACAGCTTGTTGGGTCTTAATGCAGCTCAACGCCTTTTTATCACAATTCATTATTCTCTCTGATCCTCTTTTTGAGATAAGCTCATGCCTTAAAAGCTATGTATGATTTTATCTTCCATTAAGGAGCATGCCTTCTCTCCATTGGGTTAAACTCATGCCAGCATGGGGGGTCGCATTTTCTTTATAGAGCATGCTTGCACTATAACATCACCCCTTCCACAGAATGCAGGTTTATACTCCTTTCAAATGAGTTCGTCCCCTGTTCTTCCTTAGGATCTAAATATGAGCTTAAGAATCTCTTCCTAAGGATGAGCTCTTAGCTATGGTCTTCCCCCACTCGAGATGAGCTCATTTTGTGCTAAAATTCCTGTAATATAGCTCAACAACTCATCCCTAGAAAGCATGTATCTGTTTTCCTAAGACTATGGTAGCATCTAGTTGAGCCTATGATCCGAGATTAAAAAAAACCTCAAACTTATATCTGGACAGTACAGAAGAAAGTAGAAATGGGGAACTCAGAGATATGTTTATATTGTACAAACAGTTCTCTACACAATAATCCCAAATGATCAAAGAGAAATGGCATCTTAAAAAGTGGTTGAACTAGAAAGATACCAAGCAAATCAAGCCACAGAACATACATGTTGGTTTTAAGAGATACAAAAAATATCTGACCGTCCTTTCCGAAGTTCATGTACCATGAAATATGAATTACGTAGTCATACGTCACAATGCATCAGAAAGAAATGAAAGCCATATTGGTTGGTTGAGCACAACCAACCATTTCTTGCATCCCTCAGCACAGTTTCTACTCCCACATGTGATTTGGTTGGTGAGATTTGAACCAAGTCAAATCTTCCACTTGAAAACCCAAATAGGTAAACTTGAATAAATTGAAGATTTCTATCTACGTTATCTTCCTGTTTCTATTTTCCTCCGTTCCAAAAAAGGCAATATAAATACATATGTACATGCATACGTACGTGTGTGTGAGTGTGTATAGACCACACACGAAAAAAGCCCACACTTTTTTCTGCGCCTCGCACTTTAGTGAGCCTTGAGCTTAACACTAAGTTAACTAATAAAAATGGAAGAGCCTAGGTTAGTTTCTCTAATTGCAGATAGACCAAGGTATCAAGCCAAATGTTGGATGAAAGAACTCTGTGGGTCTTAACTACAAGGTGCCAACATTCTCTACTTCAGATAATCTAAAATTCAAAAATAGAGAGAGAAAAAAAAAGGAAAACATCCTCAGCATCACCTTGATCTCTGATTCCTGATAGTTACACATTCATAACAAATTTAAACCGACTCGACTTAGTGAATTCCTCGTCCAACAGTCTTCGTCCATGAGAACAAGTAATGATACTTGAATTTACACGTTCATAATAAAATATATGACCAACTTGATTTGGTGATTTCTTCGTCCAACAGTCTTCAATGAACCCAAATGATAAAATGATAGTCCAATAATTATTCTGGTCAATGATTGCTTCTTCAGATTCAGATATAAATTCATAACTCGTAAATCGGTAATTATGCGTTTACAAAAGTGTATACGACTTTCTTAGACAATAACAATGACCAGTTATAATATTTAAGGAAAATTTTAAGTAAACAATAATAAGAATGCTAGCAAACAAATAGAAACACTTCAATGCTTTCCCATATTCAAGCCTATTTATAGTTCAATCTCACATATTGAATGGAATAAAAATACTAAAACAGACCTATAGTTTTATCTACATAGCTCCTAAATTTTTTTAGCACCAAAAAACAGATGTCAGCAAGGCGTCCCACTGGGATGGATTTGATTTTTGTCAAGCATTCTGATGTAAAATATACACAAGTAGCATGAAGCCTAGAAAGAAAGTACATACAGAGGACATAGCTCGTGACACTAGAGAAACAATTAAGGGCGCATATCTGGAAATGCAAAACAGGCATGCACAGAGCAATGAAAAATTACCAGTAACTTTCCTTAGCGTTAAGCAACTTGCCCCCTATAAAGCCGCCAATTCATCATTATCGAACCCCCTCGATCAATACTTCGAGCTCTCTACGACCAAACCTCTGTCCCTGCACTTTGGCATCTCTACACCTAGCTGCAAAGTAGAAGGTAAGCCAAACCACCATGAAATAGACCTCTCCCACGGACTGAAAAAACATGGCAACATGTTTTCCACAAACTCGTGCAAGAGCCCATCTCATGAAAGATCCACAACAAATGGCTTCCAAGCACTTGATTTGAATAGCCTGGTTTAGCATTGTCAATATCAAATAACAACCTTCCTTCAAGATCTCTCTACCAGTCCGCCTTGCATCCACAATAACAACCCAAGCATCCACAGCAAAGATGAATGCGACAAGAGTGTCTAGCAAAAACCAGGCAAACAGAAACCCAGAGATCTCTTTCTCATAACCACGAATCCATGGAGACATTATGGAAAATGGCATCAATTTCAACCTTACAAATAACTTGAAAAATGAATATTGATCTTCGATTTCACCAAAGTACCACAAGCCAAGGAGCTGGGTTAGCGCATCTCGTACAGCCCATCTCATCAAGATAAACCCAGAAAGCCTCTTGAACCCCAATCTTGACCCATCCCATACCATACCAACAAATGAACCAAATCTCTCCGTTAGATCATTAAGGACAGCGATGAACACAACGCCTGAAGCCCATGAATATGTAACAAGAAAGCCAAGCATTACCCAGATATAAGCAGCGGAAAGAAAACTAACAAAGAAGAACAGGGCTGCAGCGTCCCGACGACCAAGTTCCAGTCCTTTGACAAAAAATTGCAAATCTACAAGCCTTTCCATATCCTGGTGCACATTTTCATCTCCAAGTCTTCTATCGTTTTCCTCCTGATCGTCGCCGCTTTCGTTATCATTAGAAAAAGGCGAGCTACGAGCCTTGAATCCCACTCCCGGCCGAACAACTTCCGAAACCCTAATTCCATCATCGACGACCAGATTCGAAAACCCTGAGATCGAACCGAATTGAGTAAAAAAAACGAAACTTGCATTAGGTGGGTGATTCCGATTAGTCCCAAAGAGGCCACGCTCGTCATCCACATCTCCGGAGAAGATATCATCATCTAGGGTTCCAACGCGGGTAAGATGCAGAAAAGGCCGGCGACGTTGGCGGCGCTGGCGACGGGCAACAGCGCTAGACATGGACGAGTCCTCGGCAGACCGTAGGAGGCGTTGCTCCCCTGCAATGTCAAGGCGAGAGAGAAGAGCCTTAAGGGAAGGGTCGCGATCAATGAAGGAGGTGACATATTGGGTGCCATTTTCGACAACGACGCGGAAGGAAAGGATGAGGAGGGAAAGGAAAAGGAAGGTGAAAAGATTGGATGTGAAGGAGGCCGTAGCTTCTCGGAGAAGCTGGGCCGTACTACGGAGATTATCAAGGCGAGGATGATTATCGGTCATGGCGGAGGGCTGTGAGCTTCACCGGTTTCTTGTGATCCACCGCCGTGAGAAGGTGAATTTCCGGCGCCGGATTGGGGGAATTGGCCGTTGGATGATCGGAATAGAGAGCGAGAGAGTTGAAATGGAGCAGAGAGTAAGAGAGTGATTTCAATTCTCAATTGTCAAAATAGG